TGTAAGTTGACTTGATAAAATTCTTTATCTCTAGGAGCCAAATGGTTATTAAAGGTAGACTCAAGTTAAAATTTAACTGGCTAGGGCTGGCCCAGTGGCTCAGTTGGTTAAGAGCTCGCTCAAGAGTACGAGCTCTGAGCAACAGCGGTTTGAGTCCGGCCCGAGCTGAGCTGCTGCTGAGCTGCCAACAGGTGGCAGGATGGCTCAGCTAAAAACAACAGCAGCAAAAATTTAACTGGTTAGATAGATGGTCTGTTTAACAAATAGTTCCATATAAATGGAATTGAATATCCTTTTATTACATGCTTTGCACCATGCCTGAAATAATTTAAACACAAATTTTAGACTTAAGTCCATGCATCGCCACTTTTGTAGTGTTTTAATGCATTGTTGTGGAATGGATTTAAGTTTATAAGTAGTAGGTCAGGTTTAGGGGAGGAACAATGTGGGTTTTGTTATCGTTTTCATTTAGTGTGCCAGATGATCTGGAGTGAGATACTTATGTATTTATTTAATTTCTCCTCTTTATGAGAGAGGCAGTTGTCAGTTTTTCACCCTTAACTGTAAATTCCAGATTATTTATTTTACCAATCATCTGTCAAATTTTAATTTCAGGCAAATGAATGTGTAGATTCTAGAATCAGACTGCTAGGGGTAAAATCCTGATTCTATTTATTAGCTATGGAACTTCAGACAAGTTTAACCTTTCTGCTTTATCTGTTAAATGGGGATAATAAATGTATCTACACCATAGGTTCTTCGTAAGGATTAAGCATCGTAAGCACTCGGTATTTGTTAAATCTATTATAACCTATTTGGGTAGGGTTGAGTATCAATCAGGTAAGTGCTCATGGAGCACTGTCTGACACTAATATTAACCCAGTTAGAGAATTGCATAATTCATTCTGTTGTCAGAATTATTATTATTTTTTTTTAACTTTTTGGAATCTGATATTGATTTTATTGTTTTCATTATCAGGAATAATGTGTTAATGTTCTTCTACTGTAAGATTTAAACTGTAAGATTATCAACCTTACCTATTTCCATTTATAGTTCAAGCCAGAATAGTGAAATGACTTTCTTAAGTTTTCATAGGTAATAAATAACTTGGTAATAGGTCTTGATCAACCAGTACTCTTTTTATTATACCTTAATCAGCTACTATAAATAAAAAATCTTAAATGAGCAATGAGAGCAGTTTAATTTCTAATTTATAATGAATTCTCTGGTATTGCTATGTGGTCCCTCACAATTTCTTTCAAGTTTATTTATTTCATTTCTAGTAGTAATTCAGCCAAAAATTCACCTGCTTATTCTCTTAGTGATACATGTCCAAAATATAAACATTGATTTAATTTTAAATATTGTATTTATTGAGCTCTGTTTAAGGTGCTAATAAAGGACAGGAAGATAATAAATGACTCTTCAGAAAGATTATTTTAGATTGGGCACTTTTATTTGTAATTTTAGAAAAAAATTTCCTCATATTTTCATCTTTTCTGTCTTTGGGTGTCATATTCATCTTTGCAGTGGTATTTTTTGTTCTGTGAATTTTTTAACATGGCCTTAAAAGCAGTCTCAATCTTCCAGTTTTTCTGATAGACTGTTTTCTAATTTAATGGTTTTTCCTTGCCTTTTATCTTGTTTTTCCTGCTTTAGGGTTTTGTTTTTGTATCGTTGCCTTTGCTTTGCTAAATTTGCTTTTAATATTGTATTTTCCCAGTTTCTTTAGTTTGGTTCCTAGCTTTAATTGTTGCCTTTACTTGTGTTTACATTTGCTTATATAAAAAAGTAAAGAATATATTTATCTTTTTAAGAATTAGCTGCTATCTTTGTGTGAGTCCCTTTGGTTTTAGGTGCCATGTTAGACAGAAGTACCTATAATCCCTTTGGTTTTAGGTGCCATGTTAGACAGAAGTACCTATAATTTTATGCCATTTAAAAACAGCTCAATACTCCTGTGTTCACTTGGTTTCTAGGTCTATTCTGGATAGCAGGTTTTGTGAAGACATTTGTTCTTTCTTGGACCTCAGATTTACCAGACATCTCATGGTATTTCCTTTTATATTATTTTTTTAATGGCTGCCATTTATTCTCAGTGTATTTTGTACATATTTTACTTGCCAGCAGTTTTTTTATTCACATATAAGATGTGAAAGCTTTGTGCTAATTGTTTGGATTATATTGAATTTTTTCCCTGTAGTTATGCCTGTGTTATAAGCTCACATCTTTCCTGCTTACTACATTGGTTTTTTTTTTCTTATTCTTAAAGACACAATTATTTTACCCTAATGGATTTATGATTTTATTAAATATCAACTGGATTTGTGAGTGTTCTGGCTGTAGAGTTTTTTATATTAATGAATATAGTGAAGTATTTGCCAACTTATGCTCTCAATAGATATGATCTCTTGTGTGCTGACCTCTTGTGAGCAAATTACTGAGTTCTATTTCCCTATTGAATCAGACTCAGAGTCTCTGGTTCTGTTTCAGATTTGATGATTTGTCTTTATCCTGGGGATGAGCTTCTGTGTTTTTAGAGAGATGCATTTTTGAAGAAGGTGTCATGTAGTTGCTTTTATGGCACTTATTGTGTAGGTTGACAACTCATTTGGTTAATGAGGCCAGAGCTGCAGTTTTATCCTGGGTACTCTAATTCATTCCCCAGTCCTTTGTTGTGTGCCTATTATGTTCCAGGCACTGTGCAGCGTTTGAGAGCTAGGCAGCAGTCACACAGATATAAGCCATTGTCTGAAATAGGCTTAATTATGGCAACTCATCACTGCTATCTAAAAACAGCTCAAATGTAGTATTTATTGAGGATTGTATATTTATATAAAAATGGGGTGCACAGTTAAATACATACTCATAAATATTATTTTAGGATGGAAATATTATTCAGTTAACTAAAATAATACATAATGATTTAATTTCTGCTTTCCAGTTTCTGCCTCTGGTTAAAAAAACACAACTAAATAACAACATATACCTAAAGTATAAGATTTTCTATGAATTTAATTCTATAAAGATAAGCTGAGCAGAAGAAAACTTCTACAAACTAGATGCTACCAACAAGGAAGAGAATTATTTTTTTAATTGTTATCTGTTGTTGGGTTTAGGTCTTCAACAAAGAAATACAGAATCATTTAACATTTGAATAGAACAAACTTACAGTTTTGTATATTGCTTGCATTTTGTCATTTAGAAATTTTATAATTTTATAGCTTTGTGCAGGTTAATAAACATGGCTTTTATGAAGACTCTAATGTGGTCACAGTGCAGAAAGGAAGTTAGGGCAACTTTTCCTTTTTCTCATTCTACTTTAATTGTTTTTAGAGGATAATTTTAATTTGATGGAGCAAACTATAAAAATACGGCAAGTAGAGAACCATAATTACTTTATTTTCAAAAACTGTTAGAAGATTCTCTTTAAATGAGAGCTAGTTTTTCTATCCACACATTTCTTTTTTGTGATGAAATAAGAGCATCTCTTCTTATGTAACTACCACTTATTGATTGCTAAATATGTGATATGCAGTGTACGAAATGCTTTACATTATTTCATTTTCTTCATATAAACCCTATGAGGATAAATTAAACAAGGAACCTGATGCTTGGAGATGTTAAATAACTTTCTAGCTCACACACATCTACTTAGCGTTAGAGACAGGCTCCAGTGCTTACGTTTTAAACTTTTAGGTGCAATTGCCTATTGTATATTTTTGTTATAATAACTTGTAATCTAGAAGCTCTCTGCCAGTTATATGCATGGTTTAAAAGTAAAGTCTAGTTTTTTTGGGAGAATTCAAACCACCATTACCACCTTATTTCCCTATCTTGGTATTTTCCACCATAAGATATGAGCTCACAATATGCATCATCTTTGAAATAAGAATTAACCTGAGTAAGTATTCACAAGCTTGCTTGTAAAATTTAAAGATAAATGTAAGAATTACTGTTTGAAGAAAGCGCTCTTCCGTGCTTCTCCAGGCACAGTTTTGACTGTTGCTCTTTTCCTGTTTATGGTTCTTCAGGTATAACATGACAGGCACAGTTTTGACTGTTGTTCTTTTCCCATTTATGGGATTATCTCTATCTGTTTTGTTCCTAAGTTGTTCTATCATTGCTGAAAAGATTTTGAGTAGATATTTCACAAACAGTACATGTAGAAAGTGTTATACAGTGAATTTAGATTTAAAAAACTGATGTTGAAGCTGAATATATTTTCGTTACTATGGTAAATTTGTTTTAGAAAACACTTCAAGTATATTAGTTTTCTCTACTAATGGTCTGTGTTAGATAGAAGTAGCCAACTCCTTCTATATACATGTATTTCTGTAGTATGGAAAATGGCAACCAAGGTAAAACAATTGGTTTTATTACAAATAAAATAGCTTTCCTTTTATACATGTATAAACAATAGAGTGGAGTTGGTTCAAATCCTGGTTTTATCTTTTAAACTGAGTAACCTTGGTTAAGTTATTTAACCTTTTTTGCTGTTGTGTTCCTCGGTGGTAAAGTGGAGATCCCTATCTCAGAGTTGTGGGGATTAATTAGATCATCCATGTAAAAGCTTAATATGGTGCTTAGTCCATAGTAAGTACTCAATATTTGTTAGTTTATTTTTAGATCACTCACTGAACCAAGACTTGTTTTTGGATACTAGAGCTATAAGAAATTCCATTTTATCTTTCAAAATGAATAATATTTGTTGATTCTTCACTAAACAATATAAATAGTAATTCTTCTTTTGACATACTCAATTCATTTCCTAAGGAAGATTATGATTCAGAAACTTTCTTTTGATCACAATCACATAACTTAATTCCAGAAAAATAAATGAAATAGAGACTCTTTGAGCAAACTTTAACTTATATCAATATTTTAATAAAGAATGCTTTCTTCATGTATTTTACTTACTGTTAATTGCTGTAAGTGTGACTATTGCTAGGAATAGGAAGATGATTCTTAACTTTTTGTTCCCTTTTCTTTTAAACAGGGTTTGTGGATGCACTTAGATGTTTGCAATGAGCACTGTGGCTGGCATGCCCCAGTGTTTTGGATACCAATGCATAGGACTCCATAGTAATCGAATTTATCAGAGGCGAACGTCATGAGCATAGTGATCCCATTGGGGGTTGATACAGCAGAAACGTCATACTTGGAAATGGCTGCAGGCTCAGAGTAAGTATTTAAAGTAAAGGTATTTTGGACAGAGAAAGGCAAATTATTTCATACAATTAGTTTAGCACAACCAAGCAGTACTTGATTTGCATTTATATTTTTCTCATTTTAGACTCTTGGCTAAAATAAAATGCCAGAAAGTTAAAGGCAAAAATCCCTTCAACTAAAATTACTTTTATAAATAACTTTTGAGTCAAAATGCTATGTCTTTTTCTAATTCTGTCTTTTCCATTTGTTAATTGTTGACATTAAGAATCAATATAATTGGTTATTGTTTTTTTAGATTTTAAAATCTGTCATGTTTAGATTGGAAAATAATTTGGTTTTAAATTTGAATTTTTTTTAAAAAATTGTAATATCCATTTAAACACAGGATTTGCTTTGTTTTTTAAAAAGTTGAGTTGAAAAACAAAATTTAAGCCATTTTTAAATAAGAGAAAGAATTTCCTGCTGGATGGTTATTTTGACATTTTTTGCATTTATTTCTGATGGATTCAGTGAAAGTTCTTACCTTGCCTATAGACTATTTGGTCTAGGCAATTGTGTTAGATTTTATTATATTTGTTTTTGAATGATCAGCCACTTTAACACAAAGTTATTGCTGTGAAGATTGATTATTTGTTTTTGGAAATTGGAAGGAGTTTAAGTGATAGTGTTGGAAGATGAAGGATGGAAAGATGCATTTTTGTTCTGTGGTTCAGTCTATAGCTAGCTGTTTAATAGGACTCTTACTAACTAGAAAGCTGAACTTAATGGAATTTAAGTTTTAAAAAAAGGAAATTTATTTTCGGGCTCCTAGAACTGGTATATAGAAAGGGTGAAAATGCTGTTATTGTTCTCCTTGTGCTGGCATTTCAAGCGGCCTAGAAGTGTTATCACTGCTCCTGCTTCTGCCATTGGGAAAGACAGAGATGCTGTCTAATAGTCCTATACTGTGCTGTACAGTCCATTTAATTTTATGATTATTATAATATAGTTTTTAAGAGCCATTATTTTTTTCATACTGTGTATGAGTTATTTTTGTTGTAAAATAATAAGATTCCCAAACAAGGCACTCTTGTGACAGTTGATTGCTGCCCCAAATAAGGACACTACTGAGGAAGGAAAGAACCAGGAAACAGGGCTCAAGAGGCAAGGGGTTCCAAGTCTAAAGTACTAGTCTTTCTTAATGTAAAGCATCTAACATGCAAATTCATATCTGATGATAGTTGTAGGCATCTATTGGTAATAATCAAAGATTCTTTGCTTCTTAAAAATGCTCCCCTTGATAGTTTTTTTTTAATTAGCCCTGTAAGCAATTAATACAAGATATAATTTATGAAATGTTATTTATATAGTAGATAAGAATTTGTCTAGCGTAGAACATGAGATACACCTGTGACTTGTTTGAATGTCTAGTGTGTGTACTATAAGGCAATTCACAAACAGAATGAAAATCACATAATTATCCAGTTAAAAGGGAATGAATAATACATTGAAAGAGGGCAGTCTAGGGGATAGCTTCCTGACTATGTTCTTAATTAAATACATTTATAGAGTATTTATAGAATATAAGTATGACTTATCTTATGGAGCCAAATCTTTTCTGGCATAAATAGGGCCATTTTTATTTTGGAAAATTAGCAATTTGTAAGTAATTACAGAATGCCTATCTTTTTTTTTTTTTTTTTTTAAGATTTTATTGGAGAAGGGGAACAGCCAAGTTGTTGTCCTTCAGTCTTAGTTGTGGAGGACGTAGCTAGCTCAGCTCCAAGTCCAGTCACCATCAGGCCGCTCAGCTCAAGGTGCCAAGTTCAGTCTTAGTTGCGGGTGGGCATAGCTCACCGGCCCATGTGGGAATCAAACTGGCGACCCTGTTGCTCAGAGCTCGTGCTCTTAACCAACTGAGCCACTCGGCCGGCCCATGACTATCTTTTTAAGAAGTATTTTTGTGTTAGGAAATGATTTTATTTTTCTCATTCCACATATAGGTATATATCCCTTGGGCATAGTTTCCTCCACTCATTGGACACAGAAGTATAGCTGGTGCTAATTTTTATTATGGGACAGCATCAGATTTTTTTTGGTTTTATTTTCAAACTTTTTAATTCTTTTTTTAAATTAAAAACTTGGAAGCTTTAAAAGACCCTTAAATCACACTTTTCCCCCCTTCCTACAGAAATATAAAGCTTTTGTAGCTCTTTTCATAAGAAATTTTGATATAATTAACATGTTGCTTCCTTTCAATTTCAAATACATAATCAGGAGATACTATAGTTATGTAAGATGAAGGATGCGGGGGCGGGGAAGGGTATGTGGGACTTCCCTGTACATTTCTTTTAATCTCTTGTGAAACTACATACTTATTTCAAAATAAAATGTTTTTTAAAAAGAATTACATTTTATTATACTTATGCACTGTTACTGATTATAATTAATTTTTAAAAGAAGACTGCTGCAAAATGCAATGTATCACTAATAAATTAAACTAATTTAAAATTTAGGAGATACTCAGTGATTGTTTATTGAATGAATTAGTGTACTGGACCAAATTTATACTCACATCTAAGGCTATAAAAGAAAACTTATTGGGCCACTTAGAGTTCATCTAGTCTATCTGTAGCATTTTATAGATAAGAAATTGAAGGTCTAGTTCAGGCTCTATGAAGAATGGATTTGCTAAGCTGTAGTCCAGTATGTCCATACTTGGTAACATTTGCTTTTGGATTATTGTCTCTCTAAAATAAAATTCATTATTCCCACCAAGTTTAGTTTATTCTTTGTTACATATTTGTTTTACTCTCATCACTAAGTTTTGAAAAATCTTAGGTTTGTTTTGCCTTCAGAGTTAGGGATCTTGTGTTTTACTCTTTTCTGTTCCCCATTACCTTGCCAGGAGTTGGCTAACCCTGAAAATTTGAACTAAGAATGGCTTTAAAATACTTCAGGAATAACTGATTAGTGAATATTGATAGACTATGACTTAGGGATATTTGTTTAATAAGAAGAATAAAATTTTGTTGCATTAGCCTAAGTTTTTTCTTAAGCAATCATAAACAAACATTTCCATAGTCAAATTTGACAGATGTTTTATTAAAAAAAAACTTTTTACTATACATAGCTTTAAAAATACCCCAAACCCAGACCTTGGTGAATAGAAATGGAGTTGAAACCAACAGCTATCATGGAGACTCTATGATACCCTAAAAAACTGCATATTTGCCACTCTTAGATGTTAGCAGGAAGCTTTTATCTGCATTTTGTTTGTCCTGAGATTTTAAAAATACTAATCACGACATACAGGTTAACATAACAACTGACTGGTTTTCTCACTAATACCTGGTGTAATCTTAGTACAGTTGAAAATGTGGAGAGGTAACGATATATTTAAAGGGAATGTTGAGCTAAGTGTAAACATTTTAAAAAACTTGATTAGCAAAATGATCATAACTGGAATAATGAGGAGACCACCTTTCTTACCAGGAAGCTCTATCTGTAAAGTTTTTTGATTAACTGCATGTCCATAAATGTAAGCTAATACTAGAAGTAGACTCTTTGCTTCTAGCATAATTTCACAGGCTAATACTAACAATCCAAGAGAAAACACATTTTGGATCATCATTTTAAGCATCAACTGTGTAGAAAGTGTTTTACTAGAGCAGGGGTCAGCAAACTGTGGCTCGTGAGCCACATGCAGCTCTTTGGGTACGTACATGTGGCTCTGAAGTCAAATTGAAAATGAAAATAAAACTATCATAGTTTTATTTATAAAATTTTTAAATGATTTCATTTGTTTTACGGCTCTCGAATAATTTTTAAATTTTTGTGAGGGACAGTACTGGCTCTCTGGTCTCAAAAGTTTGCCAACCCCTGTACTAGAGGTTTGGGGTTGCAAGTGTAAACTTTTATCCCTACTCTTAAGGAAATTACAATTGGTTGGAAAGTCAAAACTCTAGACCAGAACTGTCCAATAGAAATATGTGAGTCATATGTGTACATTAAATTTTTCTGTAGCCATATTAAAATTTTTTTTAAAGGTGAAATTAATTTTGTGTTATCAGTTTAGTATGTAATCAGTATAAAAATATTGAGATATTTTATGTCTTTAAAATCTGGTATGTATTTTACACTTCCAGCACCTCCATTTGAACTAGCCACATTTCAAGTGGTCAGTAGCACTTAATGTCTGGTGGCTACTGTATTGGATAGAGAAACTGAGGACTAGCCAACAAAGTAGTAGGATCTCAGAGGAGGAAAGAACCCAAAAGCTTAGGCTAGTTATGAAAGTTGTAAAAGTGAGATCATAGCAACCTACCTCTTTCTAAGTAAGAAGGATAAAGATATAGCTATGAAGTATTGTTATTCTTAATTTATAGGTGAGGAAACTGAAGTTATGGAGCAGATAAGTGGCAGAGGCAGAACTGATGTGTTCATTTTAAGCCTTTCCTATCATAGCACCTTTATTCAATACAAAGAATGATTTATATAATATAACTACTTTGTTTTGATATATGGTTCATTGCAAGTAGTAGTTTCAGTTTTTCTTAGGAGTAGTAAATTCAATATGATAAATGACTGCAGATAACAATGGTATTTTCAGGTCTTTGCTCAAGGATAACAAACATAGAAGAAAACCTAGACTTCATTATCACTAGAGAGACAGGAAATCGTTGAGCCAGAGTTCAGCTGTTTATTAGACTTGTATGTTTTTTTTATCCCTAATAGATAAAACTTACCTTTTATGTTCCAACCATCTGAATCCCTAAATTGGTTAAATAAGCCAAAAAAAAAAAAAAAAGGAAATCCTTCTAGAGCTGGAAAATGGGAAGAGTATAAATAAGGAATGTTAAATTTCTTCTTTTTTAGCCTTTTAAAAAGAAAAACCAAATGACTTTTCCCTCTCAGAGACTGGGAACATGATTGCTAACATTGTATACCTTTTAATATTATGGCTACCAAATATCCCTTGGTATCATTAGAAATCATTATAGTGAGCTTTTATATAATTTGGTGTATTTTTA